AGCGCCGATTCTCCGTGAAGCTTTTCAAGGAGTTCACAGACGTCTTTAACTGTCTTCCCATCGCCGCACTCATTGAGGAGATTGCGCTCTGCATGCACGGTGGCTTGAGCCCAGAGCTACGAAACCTCAATCAGATCAACCAGATCCGCCGTCCGCTGGTGGTGCCGGACGCGGGTTTAGCCTGCGACATTTTATGGTCAGACCCCGAAGAAAATAGCTGCGGATGGATGCAGAGCCAGCGCGGCGTCAGCTACACGTTCGGCGAGGACGTCGTGCGACGGGCCTGCGAGAACCTTAAAATTGACGTTGTGCTGCGGGCCCACCAGGTGGTCGATAACGGTTACGCCTTTTTTGCGGAAAGGCGGTTGGTGACGATATTTAGCGCATCGAACTACTGCGGCGAGTTTACGAACAGTGGGGCGATGTTGATGATGGATGAGAACTGCAAGTGTAGCTTCCAGGTCTTCAAGCCGCAGTACTAACGGGAAAGTGGGGTGAGGGGGAAGGAGAGCAGAAATGGGGAGGGCAACAAACAAACAAAGAAGAAACAATAATAAGAATATAAAGTAAATGTTGAGTGTAATGATGAAAATAGAACAACTGCAGCATCAGCAGCAATGATATGCAAATGAACGATGAATCAGGAGGCGCGTAAAAAAAAAAAATAATAATAATAAAAGAAGAGGAGACGGGGCATGTATATACATACATGAATAGGTTCACATGACCGGGAAGAGGAGATGAGTCATAATATCCCCTACAGAAGGGGGGTTCATCGCCGAAATGAAATGCACGGGGAAGACGCACGCACAAACAGAGAAAGAGAGGGACTAAAAAAAAAACACACACACAAAAAAACGCATACTGCTCAGAGCGCCATCTTCGGAGTGAGGCGGGCACGTATTTCTTGCACACATGCAGCCATATGTTTTTAATTGTGTGCTGACTGTGTGCTCGAGGGGGCTATGTGTGTGTGTGTGTGTGCTGGTGGGCATGACGAGACGAAATTGTGAGGGTTTCATTTCCAGACGGCACTTTGGAATGAAAAGGGGGGTGTTTGCGGACACTTTCAGGCTGTGAATGAACTCGGTGCCGCGTTTTAAAACGTGCGCACACGCACTTGAATTAAATAAAAAGAGTAAAAAAAAGGAAAAGTGAAGATAGAGGATTGATAATTGTGTGTCTGTGTGTGTATCTGGCGGTGTTTTTTCCTCCCGGCGTCTCACTCAGCGGCGTGTTCTTCCAGACATTCACAAAGTCCTGCCGGTCTTTCTCTCTCAGAATATATATATATATATACATATACATATTTTCTGTTTTTTTGCTTCCTTTTCTTTTTCTTCCATGCGTGTATTTATCTATTTACTTTGAGTGCATGTATGCTTTTTTTTTTTGTATTCATGCCCCGTGTTCTCTCCCCTTTTACGCCAGCTTCATTTCCCTCTGTGCATGCGTCATGTCCCCATTGGTGTTGTGGGTTTTGCTCTTTTTCTTTTGTTTTTTTCCTTTGCACCCCACGCAGGTGTCTCCGGCGCACGCGTCAGCAACAGCGAAGATGGTGCTTCCTACCCGCCAGGCCGTTGACCGACGCTCCCGCAAGGGCTGCAAGAAGCACCGCCCCGAGATCATCGTCGTGGACCTTAAGGACCACGTGCTGGGGCGTGCTGCCGCCATCGTCGCAAAGCAGCTTCTGCTCGGCAAGAAGATTACCGCGGTGCGTTGCGAGCAGCTGACGATTGCAGGAACGGAAATCCGCAACAAGATCAAGTACCTGCAGTTCCTTCGCAAGCGGAAGCTGTCAAACCCGAAACTCGGTCCTTTCCACCACCGCAGCCCCTCCGACATTTTTCTTCGCACGGTGCGTTCAATGCTACCCCGCTACACCAAGCGCGGTCAGAAGGCCCTGCGCCAGCTGGTCGCGTACGAGGGCATTCCCACGAACGTTGTGCGCACCGGTGGCCGTGTGGTCATCCCCAAGGCGCAGCGACACTACTGCTACCGCAGTGAGCGTCCCTACACGGTGCTGGGGAACATGTGCAAGCACGTTGGCTGGAAATACAGCGATGTTGTAAAGAAGCTTGAGACAGCCCGTGTGGAGAAGGCAACCCGCCACCACAAGAAGACGGAGAAGTTGCGCGCCGCCTGGAAGTCTGCGCGCAAGGAGGCTCTCTCGAAGGTCTCCAAGAATAACTTGGAGGTGCTGAAGAAGTTTGGCTACGCGTAGTGAAATCTGCGACGGTGACTGTGATTGATGCTTGTGGCCCCTTTTTGTCCCGTCATCGCAACTTCCGACGTTTTTTTTTTTGCCGGCGATGGCACCAGTACCCTCCTTGTTTTAATTCTTTTTTTGTTTTTTTTTGGGAAATACGTGAGGCTTCCCTGCAATATATATATATATATATATTCTTGTGTGTGGTGGCCTCATTTTTTGAGTGCGCGTCTGTTTGCCGATTGCCGTCTTGCTGCTGCTCTTCTGGTCGTGGTCGCAGAATACATGAGTTTTCCCCAACCCCTTTTTGTCCCTCCTCGTTGAAACAAACACACACAAGTGGGGATACTCCCGTGGGGCAGCGCGGAGTGAAGCCCGAATTCTCTTTAGAGGCAGTGGCGGGAGGGATTCCTGGTGAAGACGGAGTCTTCACGAATAAAGGGGGAAACGAACAAAAAAACAACTGCAAAAAAAAAAAAAAAAAAACAAAAAAAAAATCGAAAGGAGAAATAAAAGGAGGGATACAGTGTTAAAGCGATGAGTAGGGCACCACGCAACGGAATCGCCTTGCAGCGGCATGCCACGTCGGATAGAGGCGCGCCGTACCAACGACAGCGTCTCCCACCCGCTCCTCACAGCAGCGACATGTCGTTAACTGCGAGCGAAAACAACAGCCGTGGCCCCAGGCGCCTGACGTTTAACAACTTTGCCACATTCAACGCACGAGAGAAGAAGTTACCGCCCGATGCAAATGCGAGGGCTGCCCCCAACACAAAGCTCTGGCAGCTACAGGAGCGAGCTTCATTTTACTGCCATAAATGTCGAAAGGACAACATCATCTCGGACACCATCGCCGTGGATGCGGTGCACCAATTGATGCTTTGCACACGGTGCTTTATTCGTATTATTCGACCTCGTTCTTACCGTCCAAGCCGCGTTGTGCCTTTTCCATCCCTTCTTTCGTGGCTAAATTACAAGCCCTCGAAGGTGATGGAGATGTCTGAAGACATCGCCAGCCGCCCCGCCGAGGCCGTGGCGCCGTCAGGCGAGCGCGTCGCCAACCCAACCCTCGGTGGTGGTGATCGGCCTACACACATTCAAAATCTCCCCGCTATAGCAATGAAAACAATTCCCTCTGTAGGTAGCGATGTAGCGCCGACTGGCAGAGGGCCAACATTAGCCCGGCAGCAGAATGAGATCCATCCATGTTGCCGCGTGTGGGGACGTTGTATACACGGTGAGACTTGCTTGTTTCGTCGTGCGCCTTACGATTTATGTCTTGGCTTTTTGATGGGTTTGTGCCCTGGTGAAGAGGAGAAATGCCGGTTTTTACACCAGCATGTTTTCAGTCTGCCGAATGCGGCTGATCCGGTGCCTGCGGAACGTCGAGCGGAGGACTTGGAAGACGCGGAGAGTGCGTGGGGCAAATGGATCGCACGCCGGAAGAATAGTCCGAATTCGGCAGAGTGGCAGCTGTGGCACAACGGGCCGGTGCAGGACCTCCTCGACGCGTACGCCCCCGTGACATCTGAGAAGAAGGAGGAACAAAAAGAAACACGGAGCGGTGGGAAACCGGCTATCAAACTCAACTTCGCTGACATTTCTGTGGCCCTTCAGGGGCTTAAGCAGTAACACACTGAGGGAATTAAGGAGAACGGGGGGAATTTTATTCAAATTTGGGTCGTGTCAAATTTCAACTGGTTTGGCCCCGTTTCCCTTTCACTTGTGAGTGAGTGAGTGTGCGTGCGTGGCTCCTCTCTTTCACTCCTATCCACACCGTGGGGGGAGGGGGGAGGACATGCGAGGATGTCGTACGGGATGTTTTGGATTGTGCCCACTTTTTTTTGCCTCCGTTTGCATCGCACTTTAGTTTTCTCTTTCTCGCCTCCAACGCACACTAGAACTTCAAACTCAAACATTTCTTTTTTTTTTTTTTTTTTTTTATGCAAAACGCACGTGTGCACTAAAATCTATCACGCAGATGATCAGCACGGGCTGGGAGGTTTATGTCTGTGAGGATAATTAAAAGGAAGGCATAATGCAACGGTGCATTCTCGCACGGGTGGTAAATTCCTTGCCATCTTCTTTGCATGGCATCACGAGCAATAATGACAGTAAACACAAGATTTTCTTCCAACTTCGCCAAGCCGTTGCGGAACCTTCAGTTGACACCAATACTGAGGCCTATCGGCACTTGGCGCATGAATTGTCACTCTTGTCACAGGAAGAGTTTGGTCGTCGGTTATATCGTTTTAGCCGAACAAACTTTGATCCCACCCAAACTACGGTGGTTCACGCACTTGTGTCGGAGTTGATTTCTCGACGTGTGCAAGAGGTAAGTATAAAGTGTGTCCGTGAGTATGCCCATCTGGCGCATGTCGCTAAGCTACACAAGCTCTGCTTAGATGTATACTTCGCTCGCGCAAACCTTACGACGATCGGTTCTGTGACGGAAAACAATGACACGAGGGTTGGTGACTTTGCCGTCTCAGACTTTGTCGTAGACAGTGCGTACGCCCTTTGTAGTACTTCTGACCTGATTCGTTTAGCTTCTTACTGCGTAAAACACCTACAGCAGGTACCATCCCTCGGTTGGGAAGTGATGAGTGCCTTCTCCTTGGTTCGTGCGTTTTGGCGCTGCATTTGCGTAGCCTCAATTCACGGACGACAACAGGATGCAGAGTACAAGCAGGCCCTTAAGGATGCCTCTTACATTTATGATGAGTATATGGAATTAGTGTATCCCGATGCTTATAAGGAGCTTACAACACAAGATGCAATACGCACTGTCCAGCGGTTTGTGCAGTATGCTTCATCTGCCGACGAGGGGGAAATGCTTTTTTTTCGATTTTGTCTCCAAAAGGGATTTCTTCGAAGGCCACGCTATACAACGCGAGGAGAGGGTGATGATGGTTCTGGAATGAACGCCGGTGTAACTGTTGAGGGAGGGAAGATATCCGAGGAGCAATGGTTCTACGCGAGTCTTATTGCGACATGCCGTGTTGGGAATCATGTGGATTCCGCACTTCGGTACTTTGACGACATTGGTTCCTACCTTGGAATTGTGCAGGTCAGTTGTAACGATCTCCTTCATTCCTGCTCGCGGAAGATTCGGCAGGATGATCCGAAGAGGCCAGAAGCTGCAATAGGATCGAGGGACAGAAAATCAATGGAGAAGGTCTCGGAGTACCTTATCTTTCAGTTATTGAACGTACTTCAGACAGCAAAGGAAAACGGGAAGATTGTTTTTATTGCACGGGCAATGTTACGTGATGGGGTGCAACTTGGCATAAGTGTGTGGAGCATTGTACTCATTGCAGCAGGTGAGACGCGAGCTGCGGATTTGGCCCTCGCCGCCTTTACACAGGCGAAAGATGCCCTTGGTGATGGCAGCCACGCCTTGGACCGCCGCGGGAATGAGTACCTGCTGCAGACTGCCATTAATGCACTATCCAGATGCCAGGTTCCTCGCTTTGAGGAGGAATACCTTCAGCCGTGCCACGACCAGCAGCTGATGCACTGCACGAACGAGTTCTATTTCTGTGCGCTCCTGCAACATGCACATAACTCCATGGACCCTGCTAACGGGGCAGAGGAGGTTTTGCGCAGGATGAAAGAAAAGGGGACTCCTCTCACCACCCGGATCATCTCTAGGCTAATGAAGATATATCTGCGTATCGAGTCACCCAAGCTACTGGAGCTTTATCAGCATGCCACGCAACAGCTTGGAACCTTTAGGCCGTCGTGGCTTGACGAGTTGCTATTGTGGGCCGATCGACGTCGCTACGAACTCACCCATGGGGAAAGAAAATATATATTGGATGAAGTGCAACGCGTTCACGGCATAAAGGGCATGCAGGGCGACCTCGGCGGACTACGCACACAGTACGCACTTTTGAAATACGACTATGAATATTCTCCGCTTGAGGTCTTTGCCTCCACATCCTATCCACCAGAGACGGAGCCGACCATACTGGACTCACGTGTTCACTTTCTTCTCAAACACCCTCATTGTGTAGCACATAACATAGAGACATGGCGCAGCGGCTGCACTTTTTGGATCAACAATACAGTTGGCGATGACGAGAGGGCGCAGCGATTTCTGCGGTTTTCTTTACTCACAAACGAGGGTGCAACCACAACAAATGGAGAGATAAAACCCGAAGAATTCCGCTTGTACATGGGACGCATGCTTGAGGCTTTACAAAAAAGTAACAACTGTGCCGTATAATGCATCAAATAGTATTCTTTTAGATGAAAAATAAAAGTAATACAAAAAGGAAATGAAAAACAGAAACAGTTTCTGGTCCTGTCACGCACAGAGGTGCGCGCTCAGCTGTCAGTGTTTCCACGCGCTGATGACCTTCCCCCTTGCCGAACTGGTGTGCATTTCCCCATTTTCCCCTTTTCCTTCCGCCCTCCGTCTCCCCGAAGCAAGGCTAAGGCAAGAAGCAAGCTCTCTCAAAATCGTCAAGGAGGAAACATGTGTTCTTTCTGCCGTGTAATCGTGTTGGTTCTCGCCATGCTGGCCACCGCCTGCGCTGTGTGTGCGAACATCTTTCCTGTGTTCAAGAAGGGGAACGACGCTGCGACGGTAAAGCAGACACTGTGGTACAACCAGACGACCGTTTCAGGTGGCGTTGGTACCAAGGTTGATGTGAGTGAGAGTTTGTGCGGGCAGTACAAGCTATTTTTTCAGGTATCAGAGGGCGCGGCTGTGGCTGCGGCAGGAATTGGCCTCGTCGTCGTGTTATTTGTGATTATTCAGATGATTTTTCAGAGAATTTGTTGCTGCTTGGGGTGTGTCACGTCCTTGTTGATTTCCATTGCGTTTGTCGCGTGTGTGGTGTGTCTGGCGCTTATTGTGTATGGGTACATGAGGGGTTACTGCCAGAGCGACGCCGTGTTATCCTCGCAGTACGGTCCCTTTAAGGATCAGGGCTACAAGTTTTCCGAGGCCTTCTACCTCATTTGCGTCGCCTGTGTTTTCTTTTTTGTTTCCAGTTTTTTCCAGTGCTGTGCTTAGAGAAGTAAAAAGAAAAAAAAAATACGTTTGTAACAACAAACGTCGGTACCTTTTGGTGCCGATTAATATACGCATATATATTTTCTATTTTTCAGTATTTGAGACCTCAGTGAGGTGTAACCTGTAAATGATGACGTGCGTCAGGAGGAGTTACTTCTTCCTTGCGGTTGTGTTTCCACGCGCTGATGACCTTCCCCCTTGCCGAACTGGTGTGCATTTCCCCATTTTCCCCTTTTCCTTCCGCCCTCCGTCTCCCCGAAGCAAGGCTAAGGCTATGAGCAAGTACTCTCAAAATCGTCAAGGAGGAAACAATTTCTCATGCCGCGTGACTGTGTTGATTTTCACCATTTTGGCTATTGGCTGCGCTGCGTGTGCGAACATCTTTCCTGTGTTCAAGAAGGAGAGCAACACTAAGAAGGTAAAGCAGACACTGTGGTACAGCCAGACGACCGTTTCAGGTGGCGTTGGTACCAAGGTTGATGTGAGTGAGAGTTTGTGCGGGCAGTACAAGCTATTTTTTCAGGTATCAGAGGGCGCGGCTGTGGCTGCGGCAGGCATTGGCCTCGTCGTTTTGGGTCTTGCTATCGCCCAGCTCATTCTGGAAGAAAAGAGCTCCCGCTTCACTTGCTGCGCAGCCTCGCTGATTTCCCTTGCGTTCGCTGCTTGCGGAGCATGCGTGGCGCTTATTGTGTATGGGTACATGAGGGGTTACTGCCAGAGCGACGCCGTGCTATCCCCGCAGTACGGTCCCTTTAAGGATCAGGGCTACAAGTTTTCCGAGGCCTTCTACCTCATTTGCGCCGCCTGCGGTCTTTTTCTGCTTTCCAGCTTTTTCCAGTGCTGTGCTTAGAGAAGTAAAGAGCGGCAGCGCCGCACGCGACCCATGGATAGCGCAGGAGGGAAGTGCTGTGTGGCGAACGTATTGTTTGCGCACTGATTTGCCACCTGGTTTTCTTTGGAAGCATACGGAAAAGGAGTGTCCTTATTTTTGTTGCTGTTGCTTTTAGTGGTGTTAGCATCTTCAGTTTTATGTTTTCTTCTCCTCTGAGAATTTTTGCTTTGCGTGTGCTCGGCAATACCTTTGCCGGAATGCCACCATCAGCGTGGCTTGTGTGAGTAGCCATTCGCTGCAATTGTTTGTCGTATGTTATTGCTTTTTGTGCGACGACAAACTGGTGGTTGGTTTAGTGCGAGTGCGCTGCTCTGTTTGCCGTTGTCGCTGCCCACCCCTGTTTGGCGTGCGCACGTGCGTCCCGGTGATTTGTTGCGCGTGTGTATGGTGCCTGTGTGCGGGGAAGTGACGGTCTGCTGCACCAGTTGTGCTGTGCTCAGCGTGCGAGGGGCACGGGCGCACGTAGCTGGTGTGATATTTGCCTCTTTTTGCTCTGTGCGTGTTGTTGTGGGTTGCTTCTGGGGAAGGAAGGGAGATGTCCGACCGTGACGGGGATGACGACCGGCTGAGTCTGAACTTCGGCGAGGAACAGGAGGAGAGCACCCTGCGCAGTGATGACGAACAGAGCGAGGGCGATGGCGCGGACGTTGTCCTGTCCGGGCGGGCGGCGAGTGGCACTGCCGTAAGACGCGACGGCAAGGACCGTGTGACTGCGCCGGTGCTGACAAAATACGAGCGGGCCCGCATCCTTGGCACACGGGCGCTGCAGATCAGCATGAACGCGCCGGTGCTGGTGGCCTTGGAGGGCGAGACGGATCCGCTCATCATCGCCCAAAAGGAGCTTCGCGAGGGTGTCATACCGCTCATCGTACGGCGGGTGCTTCCGGACAACACGTATGAGGACTGGCGAATATGCGAACTGGACATCGACTTTGACCGTCCCGCTGACGAGCGATACACAAACATCTGAAGGGCAAGAGCGTGCTGGAGCGGGTGCTTTTCCCTTGTTGTCCTGTCACGCACAGAGGTGCGCGCTCAGCTGTCAGTGTTTCCACGCGCTGATGACCCTTCCCCCTTGCCGAACTGGTGTGCATTTCCCCATTTTCCCCTTTTCCTTCCGCCCTCCGTCTCCCCGAAGCAAGGCTAAGGCAAGAAGCAAGCTCTCTCAAAATCGTCAAGGAGGAAACATGTGTTCTTTCTGCCGTGTAATCGTGTTGGTTCTCGCCATGCTGGCCACCGCCTGCGCTGTGTGTGCGAACATCTTTCCTGTGTTCAAGAAGGGGAACGACGCTGCGACGGTAAAGCAGACACTGTGGTACAACCAGACGACCGTTTCAGGTGGCGTTGGTACCAAGGTTGATGTGAGTGAGAGTTTGTGCGGGCAGTACAAGCTATTTTTTCAGGTATCAGAGGGCGCGGCTGTGGCTGCGGCAGGAATTGGCCTCGTCGTCGTGTTATTTGTGATTATTCAGATGATTTTTCAGAGAATTTGTTGCTGCTTGGGGTGTGTCACGTCCTTGTTGATTTCCATTGCGTTTGTCGCGTGTGTGGTGTGTCTGGCGCTTATTGTGTATGGGTACATGAGGGGTTACTGCCAGAGCGACGCCGTGTTATCCTCGCAGTACGGTCCCTTTAAGGATCAGGGCTACAAGTTTTCCGAGGCCTTCTACCTCATTTGCGTCGCCTGTGTTTTCTTTTTTGTTTCCAGTTTTTTCCAGTGCTGTGCTTAGAGAAGTAAAAAGAAAAAAAAAACGTTTGTAACAACAAACGTCGGTACCTTTTGGTGCCGATTAATATACGCATATATATTTTCTATTTTTCAGTATTTGAGACCTCAGTGAGGTGTAACCTGTAAATGATGACGTGCGTCAGGAGGAGTT